CACACACACACACACACACACACACGCACCCCAGTATTGAGGATAAAACTCAGTGCTTTTGTGCATGCTAGGCGAGTGCTGTACCACTGACCTACACCCCTTAATCCTCGTTACCTTACTTTGAGGCAGGGTCTCACTGTTGCCCAGGCTGACCTTGAATTTGTAATCCTGTTTCTGCCTCCAAGTAGCTGGGATTACAGTTGTGTGCCACTGCACCTATCCTGGTCTTTGCTTTTTATTGTCTTTTCTATATCTAGTCAAATAGTCCCTCCTTTCTTCTTAGAAGTTTTACCAACATGTGTATGTCAAAAATACATTTCAAGCTGTAAAACACCTTGCTGATGTTTGTTATTTCAAACAGTAATGGAAGACTTTGGTTTCTCTTTGGCTGCCTCTCATGTCACAGGCTCTCTGGTTTCCACTATTGGAGGCCATGATGGCCCCTCAGAAGCTGTCTGGGGCAACTGTACCTCATCTGCACGCTGAAGGTAAGTTCCCTGGAACTGCAGTGACTCAGTCACCTGTATATCAGACCAACTTTGGTCTGCAAAAGATACCATTGTCATCTTTTTCCCAATAACATTATTTTCTTTAATGAAATCATATTATAGTATTAGTCTCATCTTTCAGGGTTAGTCCTTTTTGTTACTATCGCATATGTAATTTATCTTGAATACTGCTGTTTTTGCAACTTGTCAACAATTAATTTTAAAATACCAAACTGGCTTTGGTTACCTAAGTTTCTAAGAAGGTATGTAAGTCCTCTGTCTTCTCCACTTCCAGAAACAACTGTAAATCTTTATTTTGAACTAACCTTAATGTTAACATTTTGTTGCAACAGCTCTGAAATCTTTGACCATGCAAGTTCTGAACAGCATGGCAGCCTTTATTGCCCTTCCTTCGATCTTGCAAAGAATCTTGCAGGTGAGCTAAAGGGGGAAGGGGACTACATGTTGATTGATTTCAGCTAATATTTTACTAGTATTTGGGTTGATGATTAAATGGATCTCAAACATAATGTAGCTAATTTGGCAGGCGCTCTGCCCCTGAATTTTCTTCACAGCCCATATTGTAGCTAATTTGGTACATTAGCTAAATACCTAACTTTTGACCATTGTCCTTGAATCTGCTTTCTTAGCATTAAGTTGCCTGCAATAAACTGTGACATTCATTCATTTAGCACTCAGTGAGTAGCCACTTGTGCCTTGGGATTCAGATACACAAGTGCTTCCTCTCACTGTCTTTTGGGAGAGAATTAGCATTTATTCCAGGTAATGACACATTTTAGGTCAAAAAGAAATAATGTAAAAATTAATACAGACATTTTATGGGCATTGGTTGTTATTCTGGTTTTCTAATTCATTCTAAAACCATTTTTATGTTTAAGATTCATCTCTAGGGGCTGGTGAGATAGCTCAGTGGACTGAAGTGCCTGCTTAGGCACGCTTAGGCAAGCGCAGTGACCACGGTTCCAACCAGGGCAGGCTGAGCCAGCCTGAATCTGGGTGTGGTGGCGCATGCCTATAATTCCAGAGCTGGGGAGGCTGAAAGCAGGAAGATCACCACGAGTCCTAGCTTCACAATGAGACCCTGCAACAACCAAATACATAAAAGAAAGAAGGGTTCATCTCTAGTTCTAAAGTCCTGGTAGTTTTTTATCTAGAGTCTTTGTAGGAAACATCATCTCTGCCTGTTTTGTTTAGCAAAAAGGGCTGAGCTGCCCCAACTTCAGCAAAAAGAGAACACTAAAAATACTCTTAAGATGTATTTTTGGAAAAACCTGAGCGCTTTCTTGAGGAAACAGCAGGAATTATACACGGAATCCATCTTGTCTTCCCTCACTGTGTACATTATGGAGACATAAAAAAAAACAAACAGTAATCTGATGCCATTGATTATTGTAACTTTCAGAGGATTTTAATCTAGTCAAATGTCCCTCTATCAGCTCTCTTTTGAGATTCTCCAAGTGCCACTTTCCCTGTGGTGTGAAGCTCCTGGGCCTCTGTGATAAAAGCAAAGCCTCCATCATCACAGCATCCTTAAGTCGTTTTGTACACACCGCCACATTTTATTTTTGGCAACTATTGTGTGTGGAATAATTTCTCCATATAGACTACTACTCATATCCATTTTAAAATACATCAGTCATAAGGTTTTAATCAGATATAAAGTAATAGCTCTGTAAGGCAGGAGTACTTTACCAAGTACCAAGTAAATCAGAAGAAGAAAAATTCTGAAGGCAGAAAGTGAGCCAGGTCTGGTGGCACATGCCTGTGATGCTAGTCCTTGGAGGCCAAGGTGGGGCAGTCACTGTAAGTTCAAGGACAGCCTGGGCTACATAGTGGGGCACTGTCACAAAAATAAATAAAAGCTGAAGTAGGTTGTTTCTCATTGTATA